GGTAAGTCAGGCAGAGAGCAGGAGGCCCCTGCTGAGAAAGGGAGTCCTTCCATATAGCGCCAAGCCCCTTAGAGCTATCTGGACATGGAGAAATACAACCCTAACAGCAGGGTTTCCCAACAACTTATAGATAATATAGTTTTTTTTTTTTTTTGTATATTTGAAGTATATATATGAAGTTTTGACTCTGCTTTGTGGCCCTGAATAAAGGCTGGTACATTTGCTCTTCTAAGAAAGCAATTAAGCCCATATGTCCAACCACTTCCCTTACTTGGTTTCTCATACTCTAAGTTACCAATATGCCTATCTTAGTCAGGCCCAAGTCAATTATCAGAAAACCAAGATAACCCCATGCTCCAGAGCCCTCTGAAATTATTCAGCTTGTCCAGTTATTAACTAGCTCACCTGCTCTTTCCTGTGGAAACAAGCATAAAGGTTTCTACTCTCCCTTTGTCTGAAGATCCACCTGATACTTCCCTTGGTAACCCCCTACATGCTATGCTGTGTCTGCCCAGGGGACTGTGACTAAAGCAAAACATTTCACAAGAACTTAGATGGTATCAGGAAGTGAAGAAGCATCTTTGTACACTGAGTGCTTCTCCCCTATGCTCTTTACTCTGTATTTTCAGAACATGATATGGCAATGGAATTGACACAGAGGATGGAACTGAGTAAAAGTGCATATTAAAAACCATGTTCTCTGTTTCCTTATGGTCATATACTTCCTCCCCTGGCCCATACAATCTTTCTGCTCCCTCTTCCACAATGGTCCCCAAGCCCTACAGGCTCCTGGGGCCTTGCTCATTTGAACTTAGAGCAACATAGACATCATGTACAAGACCCTTGCAAACTCAATCAGACAAAAACCAGCATAGCACTGGGGAAATGAAAATAGAAATGAGCAACAGGCCACACCTTTGGCAAGGAACTATTGTCAGTTAATCACTTCTAGGTGAGGGAAAGGTAATTGGTCTTCTTTAAGGGAGAGACACTAGATAGGCTGAACAGGCTCCTGTGAATGAGCTCACACCAAGGGACAACTTGACTCCATAGGCTTTAACCTATATGACAAAATGCATGAAGTCTTGTGGATGGTCTATGGTGGGGTACAGATAGAGAAGAGGGACTAAATATGATTAAAATATATGAAATTTGCAAAAATTCAATAAAAATATTTAAAAAACACATTCTCAGGCATAAAGCAAAGAGCACCAACCAGCTTACATGATCAGCAACTCTGTAGAACTCTTGCCTGTTGCTACAGTCATACTTATAGGCAAAGACTTTCACATCTCCCTTTTCTTTGATCAGTCTACATGTTTCCATATTGTCTTTTTGGTGAATATCCCAGTGAACTAAGATGGCCCCATGAAGGGCAAAATGTATGGCTAATAATCTCCCAAGTCCACTTCCTTCTCCTGTTACAATTTCTCCAGCACCATTCTTTTTCCTCTTAGGGATTATCTTGAAAACTGAAGATTCTAAAAAGTCATATAGAAACTTTCCCAGAAAAATCGCTGTGTCCACCAGTGCATTCATGTCAACAGACTGAAGAAAGCGATATCCTGGTAAGGAGAAAAGTATCTGGAAGCACATTGTACAGGTGCAGTACAGGTGAATCATTTAGTGCAACTGATTTTCAGTGCATTGAGGCACTGATTTTCAAATTACATGCCTTAGCAGCAACAGTCAAGACTGTTAAATGTTTAAGTTATGTAAGTAATGATTATGACATTTTATGCTAACAAGAACCAAATTTATAGGGTGCCTTTCTTTCAGATAATGTGATTGATAGGTAGATCATAGATCATCAGATAAGCTTTATACTTAAGGACACAAAGTCTGTGCCTTGACTCACTCAGTCTTACACAAGTAAATCAAGACTTTGAACACTTGGTCCAGTTATTTTTCTATTATATGGATGTACTTAATGATCTTAGAGCTAGCAGAAATGCAGTTTTCACTAGGCATCTGTTTAACAATAATATAGAAATAATATTTTACTACTTATTCGTTTATTCTTATGACCTTTGTGTGTCTTTGAGAATGATAAGCTGAGTATAATTGCTGCTATTTTACAGTAAGGACACTGAAACAGCAAATATTATTCAGGGTGACACAGCTAGCTAATCAAGGACAGAAGTTTCCTGAATTTATCATTCAGGTCTTTACAATAAGACTAGGCTATTCTTGGAGTTAGTGTGTCCTTTACCCACAGTCACCATTGTTTTTGAACAGATGATTTTATATTTCATTTCCTAGATTTTTGATGATTACATTCTGTTATACTTTAATAACCCTACAGGGTCATCTTATGTAGAAACCAGATAAAAGAACATGCAAAATCTGTACTTAAATGAACCAGAGAATTTGAGATAACCATGATGATGATGGTAAAAATGCTACTATCATATCATTATTATTAGAACAATGAACTCTACATATCAGGCAAATCTCAAGTGCTCAGCAGGCCTGATGTCATTTAAGTCTCCCCAAGGATGCCCTGTATTACTGTTGAGAGTGCTGTCGCTAAGAGGCTGCACAAATCACCCTGTGGCCACAGTTAATAGTAGTGAAGTTAGAAGTCAAATTCACACCATGACTTCAATACCCTATTCTTAAATTCTAAATAATATAACACCCTTCCCTCTCCTACTCAAATGATAAAAGTTGAATCTGGCCAAAGAGTTTTTTTTTTTTTTAAGATTGTTCCATTTTTAAATCAGTCAAGAATTAACTCAGATGTCCTACTGAGGATGCCAAAAGACCCAGGGTGTCATCATCCTGCTGTCAGTCCGGCCAGAAATTCCCACTGAGAGAAAATAGAGAAGCCTTATTTCCCAGAAAACATTACTGTAAATATTTATGTGGGGTTCAGAAGGGAAGAAAAAAAATGGAAGCAAGACAGGTTAAAATAATTCTGTGTTGGGCTTTAAAGATGCCAAGTTACAGTCTCTGCCATTGAGAAAGACTGTCTAGTGACTGCTGAGACATGGAGAGTAAGCCCAGGGCTGTAGCCTCCTAAGTGATGTAGGTATCCTCTTAACAAATGGATTGGCCCCAGGATTGAGTGACAAGGAGTCTGGTTCTCAGTAGGATGAGTAAAAGGAAGTATGTAGAGATGATTGACTTTACATTTATCTAGAAGGCTCCCTTCATGACAGAACAAATTACTTCTACTAACCTATTTGGCTTCATTTAGAATTTTAACTCTATTCTGAGTTATTCTTGGGGAATTTTAGGGAATTTCACTTACCTTAACACTCAGAATTAATGCTGATTTCCAATTTCCAACTAGGAAGGAGATTGAACTAAAAAAATATTCTTTCTCTTCTCCAAGCTTATATAGACCTTTCTGGGTCAAGCAAAGTCCTCAGGTATTTTGTACTATGTTTCAGTGATGAAAGAAAACCATATCAGATAATCTATTAAAAAATTACAGCTGTGATAGAGAAGGTGTTTGTTTATAATACAGAGAATACATGAGGATCGAGCATTTCCTCCTCTTTTTATCTATTCAGAATCTTATTCTCAGACTATATTATTTGATGCATCTGAAAGTCACCTTGCTTTGAAACTTCAGCAACTTATTATTATCCCTGGGGACTATTTGAAGGACAAAACTTTAAAAAGAAATCAGTTATTCATTGTTTAAAATGACTGTTGAGTCATATTTTCAGTTTACCGAAAGGAATTTTGGAACACAGTTTAAAAATACATGTAAGCCCAATGTAGCTAATGTTGATCAGAAAAAATGTTGTTCCCAAGTAGGTGCTACATGGGGCTACCAAGGAGTCAGGAAAAAAAATCGAGATGCCTTATGAATAAACATTTATCAAATGCCACATAGCATTGCCTGGTTTCACTGATTTATTTTTATTTAATATTACATAGCCCAGTGGGGTAATAGGGAGCTCATGCATAATCTGACTGGCCAACAGTTGCACCATTTCTAAGTAGCTTTGAGATTGGAACTCAAACTCCATGATCTCAAATTGCTTTCTTTGACTATTGCGAAGGCAACTTCCCTAAAAAACTTTAAATAAACTGGCCTTTTACTTAAGAGAATCTTTGATTTTTTGGACACAAGCAAAGGGTTTCAAGTTGAAGGGCATATGATGAGAATGGAGTAAGTGTCAGTACACCTTCAAATGGGTCTTGAGGCTGGAATAAACAGGTTCATTTTGGAGGCATGCATCAGGTGCTGGTCTTACTGCCTGCTCATTGAGAATTTTGGATACCTTTTGCTTCTATGAACCTTAGTTTCCATATCTGTGAGATGAGCTGACTGTTGACTTCCCAGGAATCCACACGTAGTGAAATAGCAAATGTGAAAAGGCATTTTCTAAACTGTAAAGTGCACTGCAAACATTAATTTTTGCTAGTTTTTATTCTGTTCACAGCAAACTCTGCCATCCACCCATAAATATGCTCAGTTACCAAGGCGTGAGAAACTTTTCTCTGTGGTTAGAGCCATTCCTCTATTATGAAACTATCATGAAGAACTTGGGAGAGGGGTTTGTACAGGAGTTCTTCCAAGTTATATTTTATGTATCAGCTGCTGTTAAGCATAAGAGCCTGTTGAAAGACCAATGAAGAACTTGGGAGAGGGGTTTGTACAGGAGTTCTTCTGAGTTATATTTTATGTATCAGCTGCTGTTAAGCACAAGAGCCTGTTGAAAGACCAAAACAGGTGCTTGTATACATGTCCACTGACACACAGCAGCCAAATGCAGTGGCTCAAATGGGTGTCCACTGGCACACGAACTGCACATGTGCTTCCCCTCACCCTTCGGATTGCCCTGTTCCTTCATCACACATTCTCCTTAGTCTGAGAAAAGCCATAAAAAGCAAGCAAAAACTCTCAGAAATGAATAAAGAACCATTGGAGAGGACAACTGAATTAATTCATGCCCCTATTAGTAAAGATACTAAATTGTATTGAGTAAAAAACCAACCCTTAGAAACAGAAATCTAGTATGTTCTTCTGATAGACTAAAGGATCTAATTGTGCAAGTATTGTATTCAGATGACAAAGGTGTCCTCACACCTTTGCTGAAGCAAATGGGGCTTGTGTCAGAAGCTAGAATCTGTGTCTTAAGTGACTTTTGTTTTATGGTTCCTCCCACATTTTTGGCTTCTGTCTAGATACCTGACCCAGGTATGCTGACCATGAACATTTGCATATCCCTCCCCCATACTTTCAGTGGTGCAATGCCTGGCACACACCCTGTATTTTCAGCTACCAAAATGGCTTGGAGTAAAAGATGTATACTTTTGCCTGGAAGAGGCCTGCCATAATAAATAAAACTTTATTTAAAAACTTTTGGAAGGCTCTTGTTAGGCAATGCCTCGCATTCTCCCATGGTGCCATGCTGCTCTTGTCATTGGCCCTCTTAATGGCTTTGCTGAACTATTTCTACATGGAACATAAACATTTCCTCAGTTCAGTAAGGAAAATATGAAAGTTGCAGACTCATCTGAATACTTTGCTGATCAGAATACAGTATTTACTCCCAATTTAAAAAAATTGCTTTTTGGGTGAATTTCATGTATGAATATCATGTTTACATCATTCCCACATCTCCTTTTCCCATTCCAACCTCCCACTGTCTCCTGTTGCCTCACAAATTCATGACCTCTTATGACATATATATCTATATAGCTATATCACTATATATATACTGAACCCACTTATTGTTACCTGTATGTACATAGATTTAGGTCTGTTTGGAATTAGACAATTTATTAAGGGCTCATCCCCTTTCTATTATAAAAATGTCTAGCATTTGTAGCAGGAGACCTCCAAAGATGGTGCAGACCCAGAGCCCTGAGATTCATCAAGAGTTCACTTCACTTCCTGGCCCATAAATAGCCAGAGAAAAGGAGCCCGTGAAAAGGAGCCCATGCTTCTGTACCCTGCTCGCGAGCCTAGTGACTGCTGATGCAAACAGACTGTGCAGTGTGGACCAACCAGAAAATGACACACTGACTAAAGGGACTTGGGGGTGGAGAAAGGGAAATATAAGGCCTGCCCCCTCCTGCGTTAAATGAGCCTGCAGCACCTTGCCTATTGCTTGCTTCTACCAGACTCCCCGTGTCTGTGTGTTGACTCTGAGCCTCTCGCCCCCAGCCCCTAATCAGCAAGGGACTCGATCCAGGTCAGGGTCTTCACAGCTGGCCTGAGGAAGACCTGCAACACATGGTGCCCAAACAGGGACCCCTGCCCATGGTGTTGGCGACACCCAGAACCTCAGTTAATTCGGCAAGTAGGCCCCTGGATTTGTCTGTTTCTTCCGGTGCTTGAGGGTGACCAAGTAGCCCCCTCCTCTGTCCCCTCCACCCTGTCTGTCATTTTTATTGTTAGACTAGTTTGTTAGATCAGGGAGGCACACTCTGCCACGTGGTCCTGAAGCCCATGTCAGTAACTCTCCCCTCTTGGCTTGTCCCGGTGAGTTCACATAATGGCTGATCCACCCTGAACTCAGAGCCCAGGCTTCAGGTAACCCTGTTGCCTCTCTGGGAGACACCATGTGAGC